GCCAGGAGGCAGTTTGGATCAGCCACCCTAAAACAGAGGATGTCGCCAAATGGGTCAGGCAGGACAGGGCCAGTTGGTTCTTGGGGTAGAAGAGAGGTTTTGGTACCATTTAGGTTATGGGAGGTGTGAAATACCAACATCTGTGTGCTGGCAGCAAGGAAAATAAAACAGTCACCTCAAGCTTATCTAAGGAGCAACCTGCAGAGGTGGTTTTTAAATGAGTCTTTGGAGGTGTGTGAGTTTGGGATTTAAAATACCAGGAAGATGGAAGTGCAGGGTCCAGTGTAAAGGCAAAAATCCTACAGGGCAAGCTAAAGGCAGTTTAATAAGTGAAGTAAAGCTGTGTGCCAGCAAAAAGGCACAAGAATCATGGAATTACAGAATGGATTGTGTTGGAAGGGACCTTAAAATTTAGCTCATCTCAACCCCTCCCATGGACAGGGACACCTTCCTTCACCCCAGGTTCTTCCAAGACCCATCCAACCTGACCTTGGACATTTCCAGGGATCCAGAGGCAGCCACAGCTTCTCTGGCCAACCTGTGTCAGGGCCTCACCACCCTCACAGCCAATTCCTTCCCAGTATTCCATCTAAATATCTCTTCTTTTAATATAAAACCTTATGGAAAGGCTGAAACACATTCCCTTTCTCCTGCTGTCTCCAAGATTTTACTGCTGAGCATGACACTATGGGATTTAGAATATCCCTGTGGTCATTTGGGGTCACCTGTGTCCCCTCTTAGTTCCTTTTGCCCTCCCAGCCTCCTCACTGGCTGGGTGGTGTTCTAGATTGCAATGCAAGATGGTTTTTGTCACCATCTGTATGGCAGATTACCTTTGTCAAGTGTGCAGTTGGCCTTATCTCTCTTTCTGAGTGACCACATTCACACCTCTCTCGGGAGGGGACATCTGCTGATAACAGCTATTGAATGTCACTGCATGGCTGATAAGAACTACAGCATCCCATTGGGAGATGCTCTGCACAGAGGGAGGAGCCAAGCATTCCTACCCAGATATAATCCAGAGGTTTTTGAGACACCAGCACAGCTTTCCTCCACTGGATTCCCCAGAGGAACAGCAGCTGCCTCTTCTTCCACTGGATCTTCAGAGGAAGAATACATCCTTCTCTACAGGATCCCTGCTCCAACAGAACCACCCCTGACACTCCAGGAGGGCTGCAGCCACAATTCCAATGGGACTGCTACCAGCACCCTGACCCACAAGGTGTCAGGTTGGGTTCTGACTCTGTCAGTGTTGTTTTAGTTTACTGCATTGTTTATTTTATCCTTTTGTTTTTCTTCCCTATTAAAGAACTGTTATTTCTTGCTCCCATATTTTTGCCTGAGAGCCCCTTAATTTAAAATTTATAGCAATTTGTAGGGGTGGAGAGAGTTTACATTCTCCATTTCAGGGGAGGCTCCTGCCTTCCTTAGCAGACTCCTGTCTTTGCAAACCAAGACAGGTGGGGTGGGAAACAGGGAAACTTTTGATGCTGTGTGTACCCTGCCCAGCAACAGCAAAATCACTGACACAGATCTGGGGACAAGTCTAAGACAGAGCACCACCTGTGTTGGCATAAAGAATGTGAATTCCATCCCAGCAGAGCCAGTGCATGGGACAGGAAAGTTCTGGCCAAGATCTGACTCCTCCTGACAAAGGAGGAACAGCCAAAAAAAGGACAGGACAAGGTCACACCCAGAGCATGGAGCATTTTGGAGACAATTAAATTTTCCTGAGGGATGGGGAGTGCCAGGATTCCCTGGGATACAGGTTCAAATGTGGGGCACTGGATCTGCAAGTGGCAGCACACCCTGAGCCCACAGCTCTGGCACCTTGAATGTGATGATCAGGATGGGAGGTCCTTCTGCACCAGAGCCTTCATCCCAGTATTCCAGCCGTGCAAACTCAGCCACAGCAGTTCAACCATCCACAAAACAACTTCCTTGTCACCAGGCATCAACTGGACCAACTTGAATTAACACTTTGGGAATCTTTGGGCTCCCCTACACATCCAGCTCCAGCTTCCCACTCCTGCCCCTCCTCCCTGAGCAGAGCTGAGCAGGGACAATGGCACTCAGACAACTAGAGTTTACCAAAATGTCCCTTAAGCTCCTGCACCACTCCTAGAACCAGAATATCCTATATTGGAAGGGATCCACAGGGACCATCAAGTCCAAATCCTGACCCTGCAAAAGATAATGCCCAGAATCCCACCCTGTGCATCCCTGAGAGAATTGTCCAAACACTCCTGGAGCTCTGGCAGCCTTGGGAATGTCACCATTCCCATTCTTGGGTCCCCTTCCTTCTTAACAAAGCCCTCTGCTCTGCAGAGCATCATTTTCACCTTGAGTGTCTGGCCAAAAGTTGCCCAACAGGACAAATTATTAGTGTAGCTTGGAATGGAGGAATACATGGAGCACTGGCCCAGCAATTCTGGGTTTCAGGAGCTGTTTGTAAAATCGTGCTCACAGTTAACAGATCACTTCCTATTTTTTTTCCTTTGGCCTTTCTCATGATTCTGATCAGACCAAGGCAGATCCCAGATTTTTTTCTAGAATCTCAAAGTGCTGCTGCAGAGCTGCACTCCTGTGTCTGCACTGAGTGCCTAAATCCTCCTTTCCCCACTTTATTTTCCAAGGCAAATAATCCTTTCCACCACTTTATTTTCCAAGGCACACACAGGCAGCTCTGGAGTTTTTCACATTGCTGCCGATGCCTGCAGAGGTGGTATGAAGACACACAAGCTCAAAAGCCTTAAGGAAGAGGAAACTTTAATTTTTTTTTGTGTGTGTTGAAGCCCAAACTTTGCAGCAGAGGAGCCAAATGCACTTTGGCAAATCATTTTGGTGGTTTGGTCTGTGGGAACAAAGGGAATTCCATATTGAAAAGCCCTTGGAGCTATGAGTCACCATGGGACAGTTGTGAATACAAGAATTATTAGAGACCCCAGGACACCCCGCAAAAAAGGACATGAGAGTCAGAGAGTTGGAAATACCCAAAAAGAGGATGTTTCCTGGTGCTGCAGGGTGCTGTAAGCTCAGCTGCTGCCATTTTACAAACCCTATTACCCACCAGGAGCAGTGACCAGTGACAGAACAGTGAAGGAGGGGGGTCTGCCCAGAGGTGGCCAAGCTGCTCCTCTTGTTGCCCAGAGAAGCTGTGGCTGCCCCTGGATCCCTGGAAATGTTCCAGGCCAGTTTGGACAGGGCTTGGAGCCACCTGGGATGGTGGAAAGTGTCCCTGAGTGTCACTGTGATATTTTATGAAAAGTCCTTTTCATCACGATTTCTTCTCCTGGCAAGATGAGAACCCTCAGCTTCTCCATGTTTTGCTCCTCCAGAATGTGATTTGGAGAATTGTTTACCCAGCATGTGAATTGTTTTAACTTAATGACCAATCCCAGTCCAGCTGTGTCGGGACTCTAGTCAGTCATGGGTTTTTATTATCATTTCTTGTCTAGCTTTCTGATATCTCCTCTCTCTTTCTTTAGTACAGTTTTAGTATATCACATTCATATCATATCATATCATATCATATCATATCATATCATATCATATCATATCATAATAAATCAGCCTTCTGAGAACTTGGAGTAAATTCTCATCTCTCACCTCATCCTGGGGATCCTCGCAACAACACCACAACACCTGAATGTCTTCAGCCTGACACCAGAAATGTTCACCAGTTCGGGTTTTTTTCAACAAATCAAGGAGTTCCATATTGTCAGTGGTGTTTTCTGTTCCAGAGCCACTTTCAATTAACATTAGTGATTAATCATCCTCACCACTGGTGCATCCCAAGGGACATCCTGCTCTTTAATTATTCCCATGCTTGCAGAAGGATAAACAGAGCCCTCACTCTGAAAAATGCCATGAAAGCCGTAAGGGAAAGCGCTGGGAATTGTGGGAATGGGTTCTGATCCTGTACAGCCTCCAGTCTCCACCTCAAATCCTACATTATTATCAATAAAAATCACATTTCACTCCATGTAGTGCATAAGGAGTGACAAATGGATGGCAGAGGTCAGAATCAGAGCCATGTGTGCTCTCTGCCTCCCCCTCAGAGGGACAAAGAGGTGCTCAGAGTGTGTCACCACCATATTTTCGGAAAAATCCCTTTGACAGGATTTCTTCTCCTGGGAAGCTGAGAGGCCTCAGAGAAAAATGAAAACAATAATTATCTGATCAGCTTCTCCTGTGTTTTGCTGCTTTGGAATGTGGTTTGGACATTGTTTGCCAACTGGTCATTGTTTGATTGGTTTCATGTGAATTGTTTTAACTTAATGACCAATCACAGTCAGGCTGTGTTGGACTCTGAGGAGTGAGTCATGAGTTTTTAATTATTATATTTTAGC